AGGAAGGAAGGAAGGAAGGAAGGAAGGAAGGAAGGAAGGAAGGAAGGAAGGGTGAGAAACAGAGAGAAACAGAAATTTCACTTTTGAGAATACATTTAAAAGAATTAAAAGCAGGGATGTGGTGAGAGTTTTGCACATCCACGTGCATGGCCGCATTAGGTACAACAGCCAGAAGGTGGGGATAAGTAGACACTGCTGATGGACTGGATAAACAAAGTGTGGGGTAGCCGTGGAATGGAATATGATTTCAACTTTAAAAGAGAAGAACTCTGGCACCTGCTACCACATAGATTATGCTGAGTGACTAAGCCAGTCCCAAGGGTAAGTACTGTAGTCTTCCACTGGTATGACCTTCCTAGGGTCGGTGGGAGAAAAATGGTTGAAAGGCTCTAGGAGGTGAGATTTAAGCAGTTGTTGCTTACTGGGGTTACAGTTTCAGTCCGGGATGATGAAAATGTTCTAGAAGCCTGGAGACGTAATATGACAGTTAAGAGTGCTTGCTGAAGAAGCGTGAGGACCCGAGTTCAGATCCCAGCAACAAGTAACAAGTCCCATGCATGCCTCAAACCCCAGCAGCAAGGAAGGCAGAGACAAGAGGATTGCTGGGCCAAGGTGACTGCCAATCTAGTTGTGAGTTTCAGGCTCACAGAGAAATCCTGTCCCAAGGGGACAAAGCCCAGTGATAACCAATTTCCTCCTCTGGCCTCCTTGCAGTCACATGTGCGTGCACGTGCGTGCGTGCATGCGTGCACACACACACACAGAACATATACCATCCCCTCTCAAAAATAAATGAATTGAGGAAGGAAGGAGGGAGAGAGGGAGGGAAGGAGGAAGGGTGGGAGAGAAGGAAAGAAAGAAGGGAGGGAGGGAGGGAGGGAGGGAGGCAGGCAGGCAGGCAGGCAGGCAGGAAGGAAGGAAAGAGATATTTGAACATGAAGACAGAATACAGCATCTACCATCCAAAGGGAACATCTCCCACAGCCCTCAGAGGAAGAGTCCTGTCCACACCTTGACCTTGGCCTTCTAATCGCTAGAATCACAAGACAATAGAGATGTTAAAATCACCTGGTGTGTGACATTTAGTTAGGGGCATCCTATCCAGCAAATACAGTCATCAGAGAATCTCAGAGCCAAGGATTGATTAGGCTGCAGACTCCAGCTTCCACTCCTGATATTAAAATATAAAATATAAATCAGCTATGATGGGGTTCAGCTATAATCCCAGCACTTAGGAGGCTGAGACAGGATAAGCACACATTTGTGGCCCAATCTGGGCCACATAGTGAAATCCTGTCTCAAAAGTGGTATCTAATGTACATGGGATACACTGTAAGTAAATCTATATTATACCCACACATAATAAATGCTCTATAAAGTAAGAAGCAGAGAGATTCTTAGCATCAATAAGCAACATTAAGTCGAGGCTTCCTGCCCTGTCTGACAATGTAACTGTCCATTTTACAGCATCTCTGACACATGGACAAACAGACACACAGCCCCTCTCAAAGCTGAAGAGTCCCAGCGATTAAAACATCCTTCATCGATCCTTTTGGTCTAGTTCATTCAGTCTGTCTGCATCATGCCTGAAGCATCTATCTGTTCAGAAATATCACAATAATATCCTGTGCAATGATCTTCCCTGTCAGCTCCATTACCCCATTAGTCCGGGGCTAACTGAACCAACAAGAGTTAACTCGTGACATATCATTCCATGCGGACATCTTGGCATAGACCTTATGTTCCTGCCACCGAGGCTGGTGTTGGCCTCCAGCACACCCTGCCACACCTTGCTAGCTACAAGCTCCTGTTCACAGTTTTCAGTCATGCCATCCACTTGAGCACTTCGGATCTTGCCAGCGAGCCCTCCCTGTCCTCAGTCCCCATCTCTTACCGCTTTTCCATCAGCAGCAAGGCCGCCCCATTAGTCAGGCCTTGGTGGGGATCCAAATGCACATCCAAACCTATCCCCAGTAATCGTCTATGGATCCCTGATGACAGTGGCTCTTGGCTTGTGGGAGCAAGCAAAGAGATGTGTCCATCTCTTGGAGTATATACTTCTAAGGCTTCATCAGGACATAATGTTGAAGAAAACAGGCCATCTGTAGAAACTGATGCATGAAGGAGCGAATGACTCCTCTAGATAAAAACACATTAGACTTTCAAACGCCCGAAGGGAGGAGGCTGCATCTCTCCAGGATACCTTTCTCCATTTGCACACCTAGACACATAGCATGGCCATGGTTTCTAGACTCCTTATCTGTATAGAGGCCCATCCCTAGCACATGATAACCTCACAGGACCCTAGCAGGATGACCCTGCCCTTTAGTACCCAGGATACTATGATCTTATTACTATGAATGAGATTCATGTTAATTTTTATTTAGTATCATTTTTATTATTATTATTATTATTTGAGTAGCCAGGGTTTGAATATTGGCTCACAGTAAGCCATGGTCAATCATAAGCCTATCATTCTCTCAAATGAACTGACGTCAGATTTTCTCCATCTTGTGCTGAGCTAATTGGTTTTGTTTTTATCTACAGACAGGATTTATCTTTATTCCCACTAAATGTCATTTTATTGGTTTCCATCCATCATTTTAGCCAACTAAAATCTCAGCTCTGAAATCTGGCATCTAACCCACCAGCTCTGTGACTGTAGTGACTCCCAAGAGAGAGAAATCTCCTGCGTCTCTGTCATCCTTGTCACCCATAAGCACATTAGCAGAGCAGGTGGGGGAGGGGAGAGCCCTGGGAAGAGTACTGGGGAGGACCCTCAGGCACCTCTGCTGATCTATTTATCAATACCCTGATAGTTTGTCCAAAGAACGATGAAGTCACCCTAACTGTCTCTCCAGCCAGGCCAGTCATCTTCACACTGCCCATGGGATGTCAAGAAAACTCTCTCCGGCCTTGCCAGTCTAGTCTGGTAAGACCATGAATGGGCGGGTCTGGCTCTTAATGGCAGCCTTTCCTGCCAAGCATTTCCACGCTAGCTCATCAAAGAGCTGCTGAGAGCTTTTCTCAGAACCAATATTAATATGAAATGTATCGTTTGTATTTTCCAGAACTCCACTTTTCCTCCTTTTTTGGAAAAGGACGACCTTTTCTCCCCTTCCAGCTTTCTGTAATTCCATCTAGCAAAATTAAACATGGTTTGTCAAAATCCAGAGACAGTGCTTGTGGTAAGTGAGCAACCCACCATGGCTCTCTCCTCTCATGGGCTTTCATGGAGGGTGTTTCTTCTGTCCCTTCTCTTTAGGATTTTCATCCCTAGTAGAGAAAAAAGAAACCCAGAGAGCCAAGTCCTAAATATGCTGGTTCCAAGTTTGAGAGTCCTGGGTCTTTTTTCCCCTGCAGCTCCTCTCTTGAAGGTGATGTCTGTATCCCTATAAATCTCAGGGTTGGGGTCAGGGGTCTGTGAGGCACCAACCAGGACACGGAGTCTTTTCTGCCACCATCTTAATCTCACAGCCCTATTCCAAGAGTGCTGACCTGTCATATTTCCACAGATAATGTCGCTCGCTGTCTATTTATTTGAAGTTCTTAATGATTTGCATCCATCACATGAACTCGCATGGTCTGAAGTATCTGAAGTCAAGTGGAAAATTAAAAGCAATTTGCGGCTGATTTTCTCTTTTTTAAGATTTATTTTTATTTTCAAGTATGTGTATGTGTAGATGTTTGCACGTGGGCTTGTGTGCATGAGTGCAGGTGCCCGCACAAGGCAAACGAGGGTGTTGTGTACCCTGAAGCTGGAGTTACGAGTAGATGTGGGTTCTCTGCAAGAGCAGTATTCACTTCTAACTGCTGAGCCATCTCTCCAGGCTTGTAGTTGGTCTTCTATTTTTTTTAAAAAATGTCCATCACAGTGAGAAGCCCCAGAGCGGTAAACATCTAAAATTCCCGCATCCAATAATACAGGCACCACAGGGCACTATACAGGAGTTTCAGCTCACAGCGTCTCAACAATTTCATCTTGGGGACATTCATTTGTCTGCTCCATCATGTTGCCTGCAGGCTCCACAGCAGCCCTTGGCATGCTACAGGCTGACCACTGAGACAATCAGCCAAAATGAGAGCCACGCTCATCACAGGGGGCCTGGGATCGCCAGGGTCCTGCCTGTGTCCTGGCAAATGTCCAGCTGTCTCCCTTTGACTTGCTAACGTATTCTAGTGGGGATAATAAAGTGTATGACCATTCCAGCTGATGTGGCAAGGCTTGGAAGCTACACATACTGTGCACTGGAGGACATTACTGATATTCATATGTGCATACTTAAAAATGCCATCGGAAGCTGCCTCTAAACAGCCGTCTTGAAAAATACAGTGAAGTTACTAGAAATCTGGAAGTGTATCAAGAAAGTAAAGAAAAAGGCCCACTTATGCGTTAGCTTGGGGCTTCCCACCAAGGTCCCACAGGGCTTGCTCACTTGAGGGGAGCTGTCCAGAGTGAGGATGCAAAGGGGTTCACCGAGTCCAAACCAGGGAAGATGAATAGAATCCTCAGGAGGACCAGATAGGACAAGAAGCAGCATGTCAACAGGATGCTAACAGGCAGCCAGGATGGTCAAAAGGCAGCACACAGGCATTGCAAGGTAGGTGCGCACCGCTTCACCTGCACAGCTGCTTGCTTCATGAAGGCCAGGAGCCCATGAGGAGGACATGGAAAATGAAGGCGGTCGCTGCTGCCTAGTCTTAAGACTTGAGCGCTATACTGTGTGTGTACATATGGGCAGAGGTCAGAGGTCAACCTTGGGTATCATTCCTCAAGTACCACCTACCTTGTGTTTTTGCTGTTGTTGTTTTTATTGTTTGCTTTGAGACAGGGTTTCTTACCGACCTGAAATTTAGCAAGCAACCAGGCTGGCTGACCAGAGGGCTTCTGGGTTTAGTGCCGGGATTACAAGTTTGGCACCACACCTGGCTCTTTTTCTGTGGGTGCCGGGAATCAAACTCAGGTCCCCATACTTGTATAGCCAGCACATTGCCGACTGAATCATCTCCCTTGCCCTCCATAGGAGCCTTTGAATCTTCCTTCCCCGGCCTCCATTTGTGTTTGCTCAGTCTGCGGATTCCTTCACAGACTTGGCCCCCAGAGGTCTATGGAGCCGTCCTCTGAGCATGAGGACAGGAGAGCAGTATCAATTCTCCACTGAAAGGCCCTCTTTTGGGTAAGAAGGACTTCCGGGTAACAGCTCTCTGGGCTTTTTCACTGAGGCACCGAACTCTAAAGTCTGTGATATTCTCAATTTCAATTGATTGAACCAACAGTTGGGACGACAATGAGCTCACGCGCAGCATGCGACTCCACGCCAATGAATTTCAAGAGCTTTAGCTCTTCCTCCACGTAGAGCAGGCATAACCGTTTCTCTCCTTCCATGTGTAAAGGTGTTAACAGTGTGTACACTATCTGTACACAGTTACCCCTTGCTTATGTGCAGGAGACACTCACAGGACCCCTTGCCAACACCAAAGCCCACGTGTGCTCGAGAATCCCGAATAGAAAGCCACAGGGTTTCCCAGAACCTGCGCACATCCACCTGGCTTGAGCCCAGCACACCAGGCAAGTGCTATAGCCTTGCCTCCCATCCCAGCCCTGTGCTTACGCCACATCCAGTGGATGCTTTATCACATCTACCAAGGTCAGTGCTACAGAAATAGCTGTGGCACTATACTATTTAGAGGTCCCCATAAGAAAAAAAGACATTAATCTTTTTTATGTACATTTTTTCCCAATAGGTGGTTGGCTGAACCTGCAGGCACAGAACCCACAGACACAGGTGCCCCACTTTGATACGGGACTAGACATGTCACCTGCTAAGACTTTATTTTGGATAGTAGGACATTTTATTGTGCCATTTTAAAGCAGCAGGGAAAAAATATTCTCAAAAGAGAAGCATGGTTTGGAACAACCATCTGCTTCGGTTGGAAGAGCATACACAGAAACTATAGCATAGACGCATGCTATGGGAATGTTCTTTCTCCCAAACGCTCGTCTTTGTGTCATAACTAGTCACATTCTTCTGTGTCCCGAGTGAGTCTGCAAAGCATTTTATTCGTAATCCTTATTGCCAGCACCTATTTCATAGGTGATAAAAGGAGACCGAGGAGTTACATGCATGCATTAGGTTCCCTGTCTCTAATATTATATCTAATTATCCTAAGAACATAGCCCAGAGGTAAGAATGCAGCTTCCACACTGGAAGCTGGCTTGTCCCAGCTCAGCTCTAACCTAGTCCCTCCTCAGTCAGGTGAAGAGGGTCTGGGCTCGTAAGCTCACAGCGGAGGGGCTAGGTCAACCTTGTTGCTGACCTGGAACTTTTGTTTGTTTGTTTGTTTTTTGTTTTGTTGTTTGAGACAGGTTTTCTCTGTAGCTTTTGGAGCCTGTCCTGGAACTAGCTTCGTAGACCAGGCTGGCTTCAAACTCACAGAGATCCACCTAGCTTTGCTGGGATTAAAAGCGTGCGCCACCACCAACCAGCCAGAGACCTGGAATTTATACCTCTTGTGTGTTGCTAACCTGCCTGAAGTTCTCTATACCTGCTCTCACGCCCTATTTCACAACTGAACTTATGGCCCCCCACCTCGTGCCCTTAGTTTCTCATCTCTCAAGGCTCATCCCAAATGCTACTTAACCCAAGAGGCCCTCTAACCACCCCTCCACACATACCCTGCCTCCTCTAAACTCCCCAGCACCCATGTGCTGTACATGATGGTCCCTGTGACCTTGCTTTAGGCTCTGTGCTCCCTAAGAACAGCGATTCCTCCAGATGCTCAGGAGTTAGAGATTGGCCTGAGTTGGATTACACCATCAAGCCTAAGGTGCATCTGATAAAGATGGCCACTCTGCCCTCACCTCTAGGGCAGTGTGCCCACCCGCTGAAGCTGCATTCCTGGCTAGAGAATGGTTCTCTGTGGATCACAGGATAAAAGGAAAGCATGGGGGTTTTATGCTCTCTCTGTGTGTGTGTGTGTGTGTGTGTGTGTGTGTGTGTGTGTGTGTTCTTTTAACCATAAAAGACTCTTTATGATCACTGGACTAGTTTCCATTTTAAGCTAATTAGTAAACTGCATTTTGGCTCTGTAACTGGCTAGCTTAAATTTAGCTCATCTTTTCCCTTAAAGTCAAGCTGTCGGTGGGGTTTGTAAGATTTGCAATTAAAATCGTAACTCATTTCCAAGAGGATGCAAGCTTCCCCTCCCCCTTCTTTCCTATCTTTAGTTTTGGCCCTACAGAGGAGGGCCCCTGAATGGACAAAGAAGATCACCCCTGACTAGCAAAACATTTATGAGCCCGGTCAACGACACCCTTGTTTGTCTTCCATACAAGCAGGACCCATGCTCACAGCTGCAAAGTGTCCCTCGGGTGTACAGCTGAGCCCCTATCCTCTACAGGATCCCAGTGGGGTCATTAAAGGTGTGCAGCAACCCCCCCTAAGGCTAGCAGTGGAGGGTTAGTTGAGGTCTCCAGGGTACCAGCCATGCACATACTTTAGTTGCTGTACATGGCAGGGTAGGCTCTGAGAAAATCACTGGAGAGCGGTCTGAATGCAAGCAAGAAAGGTATACACGGGGGAAGTGAGGCAATGTCCAACTACAGAATATTACACAGTCATCATGGCCAACTAGGACACTAGAACTGAGGCTGGTCCCACTGGGTTCCTAGAGTGCCTTAGAGAGAAGTCTGGACAGGTATGAAGACTACAGTCGGCCAGACTCCTGCCTCTGTGACAAGAGTCATTCTGAGAACTGGAGAAAATCCCCTGCCCCCAGACTCTCACTCTCTGGTCCCCACTCCGCAACCTCTGTATTTGGCTGAGGCATTCTGCTCTTCCTTCTACTCCGGCTCCCCTGGAGCTATGCCAGGACCTCTTTCCCTGACCAAATCTTCCTGCCTTCTCCAAGCGTGGTTCAAGGCTCCCACCTCAGCCCAGCACCCCAGCCCCATGCAAGTCAGATGAAAGATGCGAGTGACCCGTAGATGCTCACCCAACCTCCTCGGAGCAGAAGAAAGACATCAAGCCTGGTCCTCCCTGTGCGAGCCACCCGGCTGTACCTCCCGCAAGGGGAGCCTGGAGGCAAGGCAGAGAATGAGCAGGCTGTGTGCATCTCATGTCCCTCCTGGCCGTCAGGAACCATCCATTACGCAGGCTCTAACGGGACCCGCAG